GGTAGGTAGCAGGTGGTCACAAGTCAGGATCGTAAAACATGTGGTCGACTGCCTCCCCTCTGGCAGCAGCCAAGTGTCTGCTCTGGCCCACTGCGGTGTCTCATGGTCCTTTGTGTTGGTCTCTGGTCTGTGTATCTCCGTTTGCTGTCCCATCGCCTCCGTGCACAGCCTTTGGTGCATGGCCGTGGCCACCTTGGGTGGAGATCTCAGCTCTCTCTGCTGGGCCTGTTCCTCAACGCCTTTCCTTGATGGTCCTGGGATTTCTCTCTCTTTCTGTATCTGGATGCCTCTTATACACAGAGGAATGGCTTTGCTGAAGGAGGGGGGAGGGGGTTGTCTTTCAGGAAAGCACATCCCCAAGGACACAGAGTGTGGTACCTTGGTTCCCCCCCTCTAGGAAGACAGAGACTCAGATATATCCCACCTTAGCCCTGTGACAGAGAACTCCCTCTAAATGGGGTTCTAACCACAGGCACAGAGACTCGAATTTACAATCACAGACCATCGTGTGGCTCGAATGGCCGTACTACATCTCCTCTGGGAACATGGGCGTGCTTGTTTGATGGCGTATTGCCTATGACTATGTTCGTACTGCAGTGAAAAGCTGGGTGTAATGTCAGAAAACATACATCTCATCTAAAATACTTACTCTCTGATCCTTGGTTGAAAATGTTTGTGCCCAAATTCATTTCAAAAAGCCTCATTGTCTGTCATACTTTTCATTTATCCATTCCCCTTGTAAGTAATTATTGTCTATCCTTGGTCAGACTTACTTCTTTGGGTTGTTGTTGTTGTTGTTGTTGTTTTGCATCTTCTCATTTAACTCTTGGTCATTGGGCTTAATGCCAGAGGTAGATAATAACAGTGCGTCCGTGCTCCTGGGCATGTGCCAGAGAAGGCGTTTCACGCAATGAGGAAGCTTGTGATGAATGCCATCAGACTGGCGATAATCGTGCAGAAGGAGGGCATATTCCAGGGGGACAGGTAAGCCTAGACCTAAAAATGATTGGAGGGTGGATAGTTTCAGCCTGGACAGTAAGAGCGTATGAAAAGGGGGAAAAGGATGGGCCCTCCAACAGTTCATGGAATGTCTAAGGCTTAACATCCTTTGAGACAAGACAAGGTAGAGGTATTTTGTTTTCATTGTAGTACAATATACATAACAAAACATTAGTAAAATATACAAGCCATACATTTGCCACTTTATTTCTAAGTATTCCATTCGGTGACATAAATTACATTTACTATGTTGTGTAAGCCTCACCACACTCCATTTCCAAATGGGTTTTCATCATAAGCAGAAACTAGTAACTCTACCTTCCTGCTTCCATCGTCCCTGGCAACCAATAATAACCTTTGGTGTCGATGCAGTTCCTCTTCTAGGTACTTTCTATCAGTGGGGTCACACCGTTCACTAAGCAAAATGTCAGACTTTATCAACGGGGTAGCATGCACAAGAATTTCTTTTTTCTTGGTGGTTGAATAACATTCCATGGTATGAATGCTACTTCATTGGCTGATGGACACTTGGTGGTTTTCACCATTTGGAGATCCTGAATACTGCCGCAGTGACCATCGGTGTGCCTTTCCACCTCCACTTCTTCTGGGTGTGGCGATCAGTCTGCATTTGTGGGAAATGTCATGGGTGGGGTATGGTTCCCATCCAGTACAGGCCTCGTTTGCATGGGGCAGCATGGAGGCCCAAAGATCTTCAGGCCTCTAGCCTATCTGGTGTGCCATCGGCTGTGAAAGACAAACAGTTCTTGTCTGATTGAGCCTCTATGAAGGAAGCGGAGGCAGGAAGGGATCTGTGAATTCTGGGCAAGAACAGAGCTATTTAGACCATGAAAGTCAGCTCCTTTGTAGCTGCATTCCACAGATATTCAACCGAGGCTCTCCTTGTACCAGGAGTTCTGCTTGCCCTGAGCATGCCCCTGGGTGCCAGGCAGGTGTGGACCCTGTCCTCAAAGAGCCACAGCCAAGCAGGGACCCAAACAGGCCAGAGGTGAGCTTGTGAAGAGCCCAGGTTGGGAAGAAAAGTGAGCCTAGTGAGAGAAGTTTGTGGCATGTCAAGGGCTCCCTCCCTCCCTCAGGCGGAGGCCAGGTATGGCCATAATACCAGTCTGGGGAGGAGCGGGTGAGGAAATACCATCTTCTGATGAAAGGGAGGAAGCCTTCTAAGTAAACACTGGAGAAGAGTGATTTAAGAATGATTCTTCAAAGTCACAGGATAGAAAAACATAAAAAGCTATCCAGAGCAAATAAAGGAAATGCAATGGGCAGAAAAGTCAATGCTGGATTCCGTGCCTTGCGCTATCAATGAGACTGTGGTTCCCAAACTTCTTTGAAAGGTGTGTGCCCATCGTACATGTTGTACGTGTACATTTATGTTGTATGAGTATACATTTATGTTGTACGTGGACATTTATGTTGTACGTGTACATTTATGTTGTATGAGTATACATTTATGTTGTATGTGGGCATTTATGTTGTACGTGTACATTTATGTTGTATGTGTATACATTTATGTTGTACGTGCACGCATTTATGTTGTACGTGTACATTTATGTTGTACGTGTATACATTTATGTTGTACGTGTACATTTATGTTGTAAATGCATACATTTATGTTGTACGTGTACATTTATGTTGTACATGTACATTTATGTTGTACGTGTACATTTATGTTGTAAATGCATACATTTATGTTGTACGTGTACATTTATGTTGTAAATGCATACATTTATGTTGTACGTGTACATTTATGTTGTAAATGCATGCATTTATGTTGTATGTGTACATTTATGTTGTACGTGTACGCATTTATGTTGTACGTGTACGTTTATGTTGTACGTGTATACATTTATGTGGTACATGTATGCATTTATGTTGTACATGTACATTTATGTTGTATGTGTATACATTTATGTTGTATGTGTACATTTATGTTGTATGTGTATACATTTATGTTGTACGTGT